AAATTGCTTGCAGCTAAATTGGTTGAAAATTGGACATTTTGAAGATTTAAAAAAGTACCTTACATATTTACATGGTGATTTATTCATTCAATTAGGTTTCTACTATCAATAATTATTTTTCTTGCACAAGTATCGATTATTGTCATATAGGGGAGGTAACTTCACTTTAACGAAATAGTTTTATTTGATACACTCATACATGATACATAAGATGAATTATAAACATTTTTTTGTATAAAAGATGGGAGATATTTATATTTTTTCATTGAGTAAACTAGTTTGAATGAATACATGTAAAGTTGATATTATAAATGTGAAATTATATAGCTTTCAAGATAGATGACAAATTGCCTGTAGTTCAACAGCTTTCAATCAATAAGTCAAAATGTGTATGTTAATAAATGATTTTAATGATTTGCTATACACATGTATATATTTATAAATGAAATTATAAGTTTTAGATTTTTCTACTTTATTTTAAATGACAATTACAGGCATAGTTGAAATTGAAATTATAATATTAACTGGTGATTCGTAATTTAAAATTATTCTGATTATAAATATTTTTTAGGTCAGAAATCTTATATACATGTATTATTTGTATTCAACAAGATAGTATTTTATGTTATTTTTAAGTTATGACAATAGTTATTTTGATGGACAGTATAACTAATTTTGTGTGTACTATGTATCATTTGTTAGTTCTAAAAACATATTTCAATGAAGTAAATGCATTTGCAAATAAATCTTCTTTGAAAAGTTTTATCTTAATTTAGCTTAATGGTATTGTAATTCATTACGCTATCACACATTTTTATCAACCATTATCTACATAAGATTTCAAATTCAAAACCTCCTTTATGATGAATAAAAGTATCCCATCTAGAAATAAAACATGTTAACATAGCTTTAACAACAGAGTAGAATTGATAAAGGACATACTTGACTCTTCTGATCTAGGGGAAGTAACTCAAACATTTTTAATTCAATGTAATTATTTAATTTGCAAGGTTTTTTAAGTACAATTATGGAGTTGTATGCGATTTACAATGTTGGGGCGTGAAAATATCTGTGTATTATGCATACTCATAGTATAATCTGATGGGTGACTGTATGTGTCATATGCTAGTTATAACAAAATATATATCAATGACAGTAAAATTTATTTGCTATGTACTTTTATCTGCATTAAGTTTGATAGTACAAAATGAATTGTAAGTGATTAATTTGTAACATATTTTATCTGTCTTGTCTACATAAGATATCAAATTTAGAACCTCATTTATGATAAATACAAATAGCCTAACTCAAAATAATCCATGTAAACATAGCTTTGATATCAAGGACGTTCTGTTCTTCTCTGATCTAGGGGAAGTAACTCCTTTTTTTATAATTGTTTGTTATAACATTTTGGTATGGTGAGATTTATGTCATTGTTTTAATATGATTTTTGTTCATATATATCAAATAATTTTCCCAAAATGTACAAATAAGATTTCATTCTACTCACTGAAACAGTCTTATCTTTATTTATCTTCACATTCATTGCTTTTAGCTGACTTTTTTTCTCACAATTTCCAAACATTCTTGATATTTCAAATGAAAAGAAGATCTAAGTATAATAAGCATTTGAATATTTGTATTTGCTTGTTTTTTTCTATTGGCTGAAAGGTCATGTAAAGTTAATATCTGATTTACAGTATTGGTAATTCCATAAAATATGCTTTTACACAGGTCTTTCTTTAAAAAAAATGTCCCACTGATTACAGGACTTTTTTATTTAATGAAAACTATACTGACTATACTGACGAGGTTATTTCTGATTTTTTTCTTTTAATTGTTTTATTGATGAGTACACACAAATTTGTCAGAATATTCAACTGTGCCATGTCAACCGAATTTATTTAAGTATTAAAGAGAGACAACTCCAAAACTCATGTTCTATATTGTGATTTGTTGATAGAATTAATTTAATGAAGTTCAAATGAAAAGATGTTTTATGTTGTTTCAGATGAATGGCTTACAATGCAGTCAGATCTAGCTGGTATGTATTCTAAAATGAAGTTATAACTGTTGTGGCTAGTAATTAAATTAGAACTTTACTTTGTTGTTTTATTCTTATTATTTCTTACAAAGAAAAAAAAAGACGCTAGTTGATGTTGATGGCATATTTGTATAAAGAACAGGGCAGATGTGTGGTAAATTTCAGCAAGACAACAACAATCATTCCAAAAAATGCAAGAAAAACATATAAATTACAGGGTATATATTGGAAGAAAACTAAACAAGTACATGTATTTTAATATAGTACTGCTTTCATTTTATCATTTCGTGTTCCTAAGAGTGTGTTTATATGGTTAAGTTTCAAGACAAGTGGCCGGTAAACTACTTTTTTACCCTTAAATAACAATATGTTTGCAAGTACAAAACATAATGTGGAATTCAACAGAATATTAACCAGGCAAAGTAACCCGCCTGCTTGAATGAAAAGGTATATACATTTTATGGATTCAAACCCATAGTATCTATATTGTATACATTATACATAGAATCTTAAGCAAATATCTATATAATGTTTGATTAAAATTTCTTAAATGTCTAATATAGTGAAGATTAAATTGAAATAAACTTTGAAAATAGGTATTTATATTTGCTTAAATGCACATAAATTTTAAGTAAAATGAAGACTAAATTGAACTATTCTTGCTAAAATTAAGAATTTATGCAAATATAAATTCATTTAAACTTACTTATACATTAAATTTAAGCTAGCTTAAAGGATGATTTAAACCACAATTAAATGTAGGAATTTAATTAATAGATTAAATTCAAATTAAACCACAATTAAAGGTGAAATTTAAACGATAAATAAACTTAAAGTATACATTTAAAATGAGAATTTATCTATAGTTTATCAAGGGTATAATTACAAATTAAATATATAGTTTCATGCAGTGGGAACATTTTATGATTGATAATACTTTGGCTGAAAGGGTTGCGAGAAATTTCTTGGATAATGAATCTTGTGTTATTACATCAACTCAATAGCAGAAACCATCGGTGTCTTTACTTTCCTGTCAGATGGATTAGAATTTTAGGCAATGTTCACTATGGACAAGTTTTTTTTATGTTTTTCTAAATCCAGTATGACACATTTTGAAATCATTATCTTATGTTTTTATTTCAGAAAATATGACTAATAAAACTACCCATACATACATTAACACTGTGGATTCATACCACATTTGCATATATATTATACAAAGGATGCAAGCATTAATTTCAGTTTTTTTGAAAATGTTTAGATGTCTAATGCTATGCATGTCTCTCCTGCTATGCGAATCCTGACTCGGTGAAATGTCATGATAGGGTAAAGAAAGCCATTGGTAGATTAAAATATTATTTCAAATATTCCATAGAATTTAATGTACATTCAGACACACCATGCAATACAACATAATACAATAACATATCAATAAGACATTGAAGAAAATACTATGCATGGCATAGATTATACAAAAAATCAATATACAATCATAGCAAGACATTTTAAAGTATTAGACGAAAGCATGATATTTTTTTTATAATTCAATATTGATACATTTCATGAAAACAAGAATCCTTTCATTTTGAAAGTACAAAGTTGAAGAGCATTGTAGACCCAAATTCCTAAACGTTTTGCCCAATACTGCTGAAGAACTCGATTCTTGTGTAGAAAATCCTTAGTGTTTTGGACAAACTTTGTAAACTGTAAAATCAATCAGCAGAAAAACATGAAACCCTTTTTAAAATCCAGCAGGTTTAATCCACTATTTTCTACATAAGGAAATGTCTGTAGTAAGTCAGGAATTTGACAGGTTTTTTTCATTTGTTGATGTGTTTAAGCTTACCATTTTGCCTTTTGATAAGGGACTTTTCGATTTGAATTTTCCGTGTAGCTTGGAATTTACTTTTTACATTATTTTCATGTTTGAATTCAAAGCGAATAAATAAATTTATACATAGATGACCAATATCAAATTTATACAGATAAATACCGCACAATAAAAATATAAATAATACGCAATGCGTGTATAGATAATGATAAACATTAAAAGCTTTAAAAAAGGACCTGTACTCAGACGATAAAAATACATGAGTATAAGTTTTACTGATACAACTACATATACGCTTTTTGAAGACATCAAGTTCTCATAAATATCTATATAATGATGCGTAACAGGAAAAGATAATTCCCATCTAAATTCACAGAGGATACATTACAAACATGAAACATGAGTTAGAATACATCAGCAGAATAGACCATTTTGAACGCCAATTTTGTAAACATATTTTTATATTTCATCGTCACCCACTTGTAGGTTCTTTCAAATCTAATTAAGTAAAAGAAAATGACGGTTCAACAAAAACATTACAATTTCCCTTCAAAACTGAATGATATCCATACGTCCTACTTAGAGAAGATAACTGCATAAGAAACCAGCTTCATAAATACAAATATAAACAAAATTTATTAATTGCAAATATTTAATTCTCTAACGCATTATTATGTGTTTCATTTTAAAAGGCTTTCAGTCTCCTCTTTTTATATTATTTCCGTATTTCCATGAAAAAAAATCAGTTATGTGTTGTTGATTTAGGAATTAATCTTATATTCTATCATTCTTATTTTTAAGGGCCAACGAGCCTAAAAATCATTAAATTTCAATGTCGGTATTCTCTGCTTAGATTTTATTTGCTGCTTTTATCATTTTTGGTTATAACTAGATGATAAAAGTAATTACACACTTCTCTCAACTAAACAAAGTTACACAAAAGTTTAAAATGATTTCCATTTTTTTTTTATTTACTTGCAGGTGAATATCTAGTCTACACTCAAATTTAAAATGCATTTTTTCATTTTAAATTGTAACAAATTTTTGTACTATTATTTAGAGTTATTCAATGTTAAACTACATATTTGTTAAATCTATATTTCCTTTTGGAATTATAAATAAAATATTTCCTAATGATAGTCCATGTGTTTATTTCTTGTATTTTCGCTGGAAGATATAACAATATCCTTTGCATTAACTTTTTCAATATAAAATTCAGGAGATATTTCGTGAAATGGCTCAAACTGAAAAAAATAATAGCTATACCCCGAAAAATTATTAAGTACGTATAGTTCAATACGACCATTTCTGTTGAAATGTAAAAGTAAGCCTATATGGTTTCCTACAACAATCCGATTCATACCAGAATCATCTGAAAGACAGAAGCCAGTCGTGCGAACAAAACCAAGGAAGTAATTAACTTCACACTTGGTACATTCTAAAAGTTTAGTTTCTTCGAATTTACTATTTTTATATTCCCGAAGGCCGATCTTAAAAAATGTATTACCATCATTTGAGCCGACAAAATCAATGTCAATCATTGTTTGAAAAGTATTGGAGATTTCAAATTTTTTAGGACGTGTATAAATGAAAGGATTTCCAGAACTCTTGCTTGTATATGTGCCACCGAGCATTTTATTAGATATTGTTTTGTTTTCGTAAGATATGAATAATTTTGGATGCAATGTTTGTCGATCAAATCCAATTTTATTTGTTTGTATAGTAATTGAAACAGTTATTACTTCCGAATGATACGCGGCAAAAACAGGCCATAATGGAATTTTGAATTCTATAAGCTGTGCTCTGTGTACCTCGATCATGGTGTTATCTTTTGCAGATTTAGCTAGAATAACAAAGGTCGAATCCTTAGGTCGATAACTCATTGAAAATTGCCCTTTAACAAATGTGGAATTAGTTTCACTCTTTAATATTGCTTCACTTTGAAGGTCTTTGCCAGTCCCTGTTTTAAGGCAAACACCAAATATATTTTGACAGTTGAAAGCACTGACAGAAAAATATGACGGATACAATACTTCCCTACTAATGCTGTCTTCTACCAATCCAAATTCAAAACTAATTGATTTAACATATTTATCTTTATCCTGTGACCATGGTGACGGTAAATGCTTTTTGTTAAATTTTATAGAAAATCCAATTGGGCCTTTTTTTTCCAAAAAGGAAAGAGGTGTTTGCAAAAACACCTTCATATTTAAAGAGTCTTCCTGTTGAACCACACGACATATTTTTCAAAGGTTTTGTAGAAACAGATTGATTATCAGCTGATTGGCATACAAACTGACTGTCCACTATGGTGTTAAACTTGAGTCTAGTAGCTGCAATAAACAAAAGGCTCGACATTTAAAACATAATTGAATATATTTGATTTAGTTAAAATTCGAAAAGTCCCCTGAATTTATTTCCGATTTGACATTTTCTAAAAGCCTTTGAATTTATAATAAAATACAGTGTCACAGCTTCGTGTATTTCACAAGAAGCTGTAGCAGCATTATGTCATATTCTGGACGTATAACCGAATTGTTCTTCTTAAAGATGGTTAGATTTTGACAAACATTAGTACCATTCAAGAAATTATGACTAAAAACACAATCAACCTATGCAACAATTTTGTCGGAAGGATAAACTAATCATAAATACCAGGCATAAAATGTTGTACGCCAGACGCGCGTTTCGTAAACAAAAACTCATTAATGACACTCGAGACAGAAAAGTTACAAAAGCCAAATAAAGTACGAATTTGAAGAGAACTGAGGACCGGGAATGCCGAAAGGTTTTGCCAAAACAGCTGATGAAATATATGTAGAAATCCTTAGTATCTCGAAAAAGGAAAAATTTTGTAAACAGTTTCATCTGGTGCAGTAAAATTGATACCATTACTGTTATTAATTTATAATCATGACCGATAATTCATGTTAACACATAGTGATGACTACTGGGCTAATTATAACCACACAATGCATTGTCAGGCGGATACTAGTTAGTTCCTTTTGATTAATTATGGATTTCGAAAGTAATTGTTAAAAAAGATTTAAGATTTCAGATAATGTATGTATCAAACCTGTCATGAACAGTAATGAACGTCACTTCATAACATTTGAATTTTATGGATTTATGGTAAAATTGTTAACCTAATCATTCAATCATATATAAGGGTCTGTATTGTAAGGTTAATTAATTTCCATTACATTTGAATTTAGACACTGTGACACACTTAGTAGAATTGAAAAAAAATTGTTCAGAGAACAGTCGAATAATTTTTTCAAACCTTTGAAATTAACATTGTTTATAAGAAAAACGAAGGTTTACATAATTATTTCCAGTTTACAGAAGGTTACCTCCGGTGTCACAATATACCTTAGTTTTACACTGGTCTCAGAATATATAGTGTTGCTCTGTACTTTTCCTCATATAAAGTGTAAACACAACAACGGGGAGGCATCTTGTAAAAACAAATTAACGCGCTAACAAAAATAAGTGTTCTGTTAAGCAGGGTCGTTTTAAAAATTGCATCAACTTTACGAAAAGCATTGATTAAATGTTTTGTAGACTTATTACAAAATAAATATTACATCAAGAAAACACATAATGAGGAATATTAAAAATGTTATGATCAGAGGTCCTCTGAAGTTATTTTCACTCTCGATCCCCCATGTTTTGATAAGTAGATATATTCAAAAATCAGTAATTGCTAATTTCAAAAATAAACACTCCCGGTACTCAAAGATGTCCATTGTTGAGAACAATATACCTTTAGTCTGATATTTGATTTTGTCAGTTTTTATGATTTTTTTATGAACAGTTTGAATCAACATTAGAGTTTTATATTTTTGCTAAACTTTTTAAGATGTTTTTCGCTTTATTGTTTTCTTGTGTTGTGCTGTTTTATTGGTGCATACTCAAAATTTTCTTCGATGTTGAATATCAAATTACTTACGGTTGTCATGTTCTTTTATTCGAAGTCGTATCAATATTATTTCATGTATAACTAAGATCATAACAAGGACCACTATGATATGCCATATTGTGTCTCTAAATCCTATCACGTATCCCTGAATTTGTTCTAATTGACCATGAACATGTTCAGTTTGCATAAAATGACCCCTGTTCAAGTGTCTGACATCTTGAAGCATTTGTCCAATGTGCATTTCGTAAAGTTGCTCTTCACCAGGCTGTATAGCATTCTCTGCATTCACGGGATTGATAATTAGTTGTTGTCTCAGCATTAAAGGATATTTCGTAATCATGCAAATAAAGGCAACCACATATGAGACAGTCTGTTTCCCGTATTGGCTTGAATATCTGAACAACATTCCTACATTTTTTCCAATTGTGCTGATTGTATTTTGGGTGGTTCCCTGCAAATATAACTAACAACGGTATTTTTTCACAGAAAAAAAAACTATATGTGATAAACACTACGAAAAAATTTCGCTAACCTTGTTTTTTTTTGGTAATAAATTACAATAAGGATTCGTTCGTTTGCTTTTTAATCCTTAAGATTGATACGTTCCGATCGTCATATTCACAATCCCGTCATCATTATTCCCGACTGTCGCCTAGTGAATTAGTGCAACATTCCAGCAGCGCCTGCATACGGAGTACATATCTCCCAACTGCTACGATATTCCCGGGCTTGTATTTCCTATCATGATTTCCTTGATAGAGGGTTGCTGCTCACTAGGAAGCTATTATACCAAGAGTTCCAAATGGTAAAGTTGAAATCATCCCTTCGTAAATTTTACGGACGAGTTGTTTGACCGTTATGGAATATCCGTTTCACAGATGATATAGGATAATTATGTTCCTTATGTTGTAACTACAATTCCATTCCCTTTTCACGAACGTGACCTACCGAATTAGACTATTTACCAGGTTTGTAATAACACGAGCAACACGACGGTTGCCACATGTCGAGCAGGATCTGCTTACCCTTCCGCAGCACCTGAGATCACCCCCAGTTTTTGGTGGGGTTTGTGTTGCTTATTCTTTAGTTTTCAATGTTGTGTCTTGTGTACTATTATTTGTCTGTTTGTCTTTTTCTTTTTTAGCCATGGCGTTGTCAGTTTATTTTCGATCTATGAGTTTGAATGTCCCTCTGGTATCTTTCGTTCCTCTTTTAGACTTATCACCAGGTTTGTACTTATATGAGCAACACAACAGATGCACATGCGGAGCAGGATCTGCTTACCCTTCCGGAGCAACATAGATCACCCCTGTTTTTCTAGGGTTTTTGTTGCTCAGTCTTTTTTATGTTGTGTTTTATATACTGTTGTTTGTCTTCTGGTCTTTTTCTTCTTTTTTTTTGTCTTGGCTTTTTATGTCTTTTTTTCAACTTATGAGGGCTAATGTCCCTCAGATATCTTTTGCCTCTTTTAGATTTTTCCCATCTAAATCTTAATAACAAATTTCAATATTATTTACATTTGAACAAGATGTAGCTTAAATAATAGAGCGTCACTATTATACGGCTTTTTCGGAATACTGATCATGCAAACATTTGAAATACATTTGATAAACTTCATAGAAGAAAATTTGGTGCTAGTAACATACGATGTCGTTCTTGCTTAATATTTTTTTCAATGATAACAACAAGCGAAGGAAGATATAAATGGGTTAACAAAAAACATCAAACCATAGTCGAATAAAAGCAGACAACATCACAGCCACGAACAAAAATGACGGAAAACGTTCAGTAATAGAAATAAAAAACAAGAACCTGAATCTCGTAATGAAAAGTAGAACATTTCTCTGGTCTTAGGTGAGTGACACAGATATTTCATAAATGTCAAAAAATGATAATTGCGTCCATAAAACTATCTTTCAAAGAAAAGACAAATCAAACAAACAAACAAAAACTGATGGAAATGCATGAACTCTGGAAGGAGGGAGATCAATAGCGTCGACAAGGTAAGCGTCTCCGACTATGCATGAACCACCCTCCATGCGAATACACACAAACTTCACAATGGAGAGTAGGACACAATTGGAAAAATTACAAATAAGACGACTGTTCTGGTTTCTGTATATGACTTTAATAACATGTCGTAAGTGATTAAAGAAACGACGTATCTGATATCGAACCTGCTTAATATCATTCTTTTTGCAAAGTGTACGTATCCAGTATTAAGACAGTATGTTTGGTTAAGAAGAATAAAAATAATGACTTTCTAATACCTTTTTTACCGATTCATTGTCGATGTAAACTTTTGAAATAATTTTGTACCAATATCCGACGAGAACAATATTTGAAAACGCAAACATTGTGATCAGGAGGACAGACGATTGTCAACATATATGTATCTATTGCTCCCCATTTCTGCAAAAGGTTATACCGGATATCGAGTTCTTTTCTCGTGTTTTTAGTTTTCGCTCTGTACGTGGCCGCTAAAGAAAATTTTACCACGCGAAAAATTGCTTGCATTTTCCAAGATTTATCGTTGTATGAAAGTTTCATACATTATACTGTTAATTTTCGAGTCGAATTTTTTGTGTTGATCGATAGATCAAAAGAATATTCATACTAAATCAAGATCTCTGTTTTCATAATGATTAAATTTGCTAAGCATACATTATTAGGATGGGATACCGCTAACATGTTTAACCCCGCAACATTCTGTATGAATGTGCCTGTCCCAAGATAGAAGCCTGTAATTCAGTGGTTGTCGTATGTGACTGCGTTACATATTTTTTTTCGTTCATTTTGTTATACATTAATTAGACCGTTATTTTTCTCGTTTGAATTGTTTTACATTTGTCATTTCACGGCCTTTTATAGCTGACTATGCAGTATGGGGTTGGCGCATTGATGCAGGCAGTACGATGACCTATAGTTGTTAATTTTCGTGTCATTTGGTCTCTTGTGAAGGGTTGTCTCATTGGCAATTATACCACATCTTCTTTTTTATGTTACACCTTTTGACAACACACAACCAATGGCATGTTAAAAAAATTTAATGAGTTAAAATCTATTAATTAATGTCAAAACCCGAATCTTTTGCATAGAAGTAAAAATAAAATTAACATCTGTAATTATCAAAACCTTCAATTCTTAACATGCCCTAATGTACATAATTTACGTTCCTTGAAAGTGCTCTGAATAATGTATATTTTCGTTTGTAGTACTCACATTTATTTGATATCGATTACCTGTAGTCAATCAAATTAATGTTATTTACATATATACAATAGGCGATTCAGTTATTTTTTCTCGTGTGTATATTCCCATTCAGTGATAAATTGTACACAGTGAAAATTTAACTTTCCCATTTCGTCATCAAATCGGGGAAAAAAAGCCGACGCGAAAAAATCCGATATACGGTAAATTTTATTACAATATGTGGTTGTTGCCAAACGTTGCAAAACGGTATATATGACATTTATTAGTCGATAATAAACGATGAAATGCTTATCATATGGAGAGAAAATTAATGAAGATAAAAAAGAACTGGCAATAAAACCAGTTTTACTACATCTCAGAAATTAAAATTAAGCAAACGTTTGTTGTCCATTTTATTAATTTTGTTAAATGCTACCCATACCTTTACTTTGAAACAGTGTTGTTTTCTGGCAGGTCTCAAAACAAACAAGTGTAAATTAAGTCCCTTATTACACAGGTGCACGCCTTGATACGGAATAACCCCGCCACATTATGTATGTTTCTGTCCCAAGTCAGTAGCCTGTAATTCAGTGATGGTATTTTGTTGATGTGTAATATATTTTTTTTCGTTCATTATTTTCTACATAAATTAGGCCGTTAGCTTTTTTGTTTGGATTGTTTTACATTTCGGGGCCTTTTATAGCTGACTATACAGTTTGGGTTTTACTCATTGGTGACCTATAGTTGTTAATTTCTGTGTCATTTGGTCTCTTGTGGAGAGTTGTCTCAATGGCAATCATACCACATACATAAAACAGATTTTAACGTGTTACTACTTATAAAAGATAGTGACGAAGTTCATTTGAATTAATCAGATGATTTATGAAGTAATTTGTAAAATGATAAAAATAAGATATTTGCAATGAAATCAATTTCACAATTCTTAAACAGCAATATACCTTTGACCAGTTTCTCGAATGGGTTCATATATTCGTTTGCGTCATCGTTTTCTAGATTTTCTACTTTTGTTTTGAACAATCGCAGATAATCATCAAAATATATTCTTTTCTCCTCGATGTCGCCAGTTGTTGAATCTTCAATTGGGATATTTAAACACTGTTTCACGTGAGTATCTACTGTCTGATGGACATTCAAAAAGGATCTCATATTGTTGCCGTTTATCATTTGTTCAGAGAGATTGCAACATGTAGTAGCATTTCTAAGAAAACTGTCCAAGTTATCTTTTCGTCTGATTGATTTTAATTCTGTCTCTTTAAAGGCAACTTTGTATAGATCCTGAAGTTTTTGTCTTCTGTTTTCTAAAACTTGAATACCTCTAATGTAAACTGCATCAACATTTTTCAGAAATTCATTCTTTTTATCTTGAAGAGCATTACTATTGTCTTGAATGTTTTGCCTTGTCGATTTGATGTGTGATATTTGTATTCGAAGAGATTTAACGTCATTTTCTATTCCTTTTTTCCTCTTTTTGAAGGCTTCTTCAATATCTTCAAGTTCATGACTACTGGCATCTCTGTGTTCAGCTATTACACATGAAGGACAAAGAACACTTTGACAATTCGAAGAACGGCAAAAATGTTTAAGCTTTGCCCTCTCATGCTGAGGGTTCATACAAATATCAAAATTAACATCCCAATTTAAGGATGTTTCAAATTTGTTAACAATTAAGTTGTGCGTTTCATTTTCTTTCTCGTGTTGTTGGCGACATATTCCTTAAAGATTTATTTTGCATTGCTGACAAATATAAGTAATATCAACGGTATGGCCACATTGGCGACATTTTGTAAAAGCATTTAGATCGGAGTAAGCTTGCAAAAAGGACCTCAAATCCCGAATTGTATTATCTTTTGCAAAATTTAAAGAATATTTTTCTTAACATTGTGCACGTGGTTACAAGTGGGACATTTGATTGTGTCCTTCCGGTGACCGAGTTTCTTCAAGCATTTTGAACAAAATGAATGATGACATCGAAGCACTCTGGGTAAACGATCATCCTCATCGAATAGTTCCGTACATATGCTGCACTCTAAATATCGACGTTCTAAGTCAGTTATCAAATTGACCGTATTAGTTAAAGTCATTCTTCCTTATTCTGAAAGAAAACATTGTTTTTTTATGAAAGTACTACTGTCATGGTTGTGTAGTTTAAGCACCTTCTTAGAAACATATTAAGTTAACAATGCATTTTTTAAGAATGTACTTAATTCAGGTCTAGGAATTTTTGTTAGATCTTCAGACTCCTTGGTTTTTTTCCTACGATACAGGATACAACATTTTGCCCCATAACACCCATTTTCTTTTATATAAGACTTCAATTGCCCATTAAGGATGTTCACTTGTCATGTTTTGGG